GCCGCGCGCGCCACCCAACCGTCGCCGCCCGCCGCGAAATCCGAGGCTGCTCCGCTCGCAGCCAACAAAACACCTCCCCTGCTCCTCTAAATCCTGTCTCCGCGCGTTCCCAACCGTCGCCACTTCACCCCCATCCCAGTGGGTAACGGGTTTTCCTCCTGCCGGCAAAATCCCGCGGAGTCATCGAGCCCCCCTGCGAAGTTTACCATTTCGAATTCTGCTGAAGCTCAAACAAGCAAAGCAGAGAAAGGGCTAATCAGACACACAACGAGATGCCACCACCTACTCCTCCACCGCACCGCGATTCAAACTGCGCTGTCTCCCGCCTTCCCCGCTCCCTTTATACTGCAGAATGTTCCCTCATCCGGGAACTCGGTTTGCTCATCCCACCAATGGCCACCACCCGCCTTCGGGACGCGTCCTTGAGGTCTTAGCCAATGAGCAAGCGAGACTAGGGCGGAGGGGCGGGCGCTGCCAAACTCAAGCCGCGATTGGCGCGCGGGGAGGGAGGTGGGGAGGGCGGAAGGATGGGAACCAGGGAGAAGAAGGGCACAGCGGCGGGAGGGAAGAAACAGAGCGAGCTACGCTGCGGAAGCGAAGATACCGACCGGCTGTGGTCACGTGCTTGGGAGGAGGAGCTGCGAATCTCACGGGAGGGTCGAGCAGTAGCGCCCCTCCCTCGTCGTCTAGCGGGGTTCCAGAGACCACGTGAAGTTTCCTCGGGATCTAGCCCCCTCACACTTCCAGTTCCACCCCCAGCGCCTCGCGGGCCGAAATCATGTGCCTGCAGCCCGTCGCAGGCAGAAGCCTGCGGACCGGAGCCTTCATCCGGGTCCCGGGCACCCTCCTCGCCGCCCACCGCCTCTCCTTCAGTCTGACAGGTGGCGCGAATGCGTCCAGAGAAGGGAACTCGGGTCCGCCCTGACAGCTCCTCGAACCACAGCCTTGATAGGGATTCCGTGTTTCTTCCCCCTTGGCAGGTCGCCGCCAGCAGATCACGACCTGAGGCTTCCACTTCATTTTCAGTCCTGTCTTCCACCTCTTCTTTCCTCACTACTTATGAGACCCCCCACGGGATGGTTCGGCAACAAACGGTGGAACCAAGTCACCTTGCTGATCACAAAAGACTTTTTTGGGTTTTTGTTTGTTTGTTTGTTTGTTTTGTCTACGCACAGAGAGGTTGGGTGAGGCAGTATTTTTTTCTTTAATCAAATCATAAACCACATATTTTTGGAGACTGCCTATCAATGGGTTATACCTATAGCCTGGCATCAAGAAATGATTTAGTGAAGCCCCAAGGCTATATTATGTGTCAACGTTTCTACACTAAACATTTTGCTACATGACAAATGTTCTGTCAATGTCAATGGGGTAACTCTAACATGATTCACAGGCAGTTACAGATGGTCCGTGTAATCAATTGCAAATGGTGGGGTTAAAAAATAGTACTGTACACACAGTACTACCATAATGCCAGCTACTATTAATCCAACTAATAGATTAATAACACGTACATCTCCAGCTGCCTTGGGACAGTGTTCTAAATCACTCACATAGCGTTTTAGTGTATTACACTTTAACATAATTGAATAGTTCCAACGTGAAGAAAATTTTGAAACATACTATAAAGTGCTTTAGTTTGGTTTCAATTTGAAAGACATTATCAAATTAGAGGACTTCCATGTTTTTGTGAGATAAGTTCTAGAGAAGTTTCAATAATTATTTTTATTGGTCTGACTGCCAGGGTGTCAGGTTCCAACAATTTTGACACAGAGGCTTATTCTTTCTTCCTTTTGGAATCAAGGAATTCTTCTGATGTCATCAAGAGCAAGAGTCTATTAATTCCCCAACTGATGATACAATGGCAATATAATGCTATGAAATATGAAATAATACTCAATCTTGATTCCAGTAAGGCTTTGTGATATATAACCAACATTAGTGCCTTCTCCAGTTTAGATAATACTCACTAGCCCTTTGTTATGAAGCCCAACAAAAGGAATTTTACTGTTGTCTTATTAAATAGTAATTAAGAGAATAAACTCAGGAGCAGTAGACTGGATTTTGTTCTGCCTCCTCCTCACTGTGTTATCTTAGTTATTTTTGGAGCTTCAAGTTCTTCTGTGAAAAAGACAGTACTATCTACTTTCACCTGGTGGTTGAAAAATTAAGGGAGAAGGTATACAATGTACATGGTAGCATATATTTGACACATAGTAAGCACTCAATAAATTATAACTACTATTATCTTCTACATTGGATGCTGGAGAGGTATAAAGTATTTTTTATTCCTAAATCTTGTTTTGCTCTCTAGTCCATTTGACTATTTTTTTTCCTGTCTAGTACATCTGCTCCCTTTGATGTGGAAGCAGCAATCCTGAAACCTGCCCAAAGTATACACAACCAAGTCATCCAACATTCAAACCAAAATCCAAAATTGATCTTATATTCTCAATAGTTTTCCTTCAAAGAACATTACAGTATCAGTATTTCCTCTATTCCAGCAGGAGTTATGTGATGATTTCCTGCTCCCTTTCCTGTCTTAGAAAATGCATGATGTAAATGTTTATAATCTTGACTTATTTTTCCTGTATTTGTTTTAATAGTAATACATGTATATAGCATATCTAGCCCAATTAGCGCTCTTGTCATTTAAAAAAAAAAAAAAACTAATATGAAGTAGATGAGCCCACTATTATTGACTGTTTACTTAATAGCCTTTCCCTAACTTAGCCAGATTTTCTATGACTAGTTACTATCTCCTCTCAAACACTAACATGTATGTTAACTACTGTTGTCTTGCTTTTTTATGTAGAGAATTTGAGGTAGTCTCACATTGGGAATATCAATTTTTTCTTTTTGTTTCTTGAGTTGGAGTCTCACTCTGTCGCCCAGACTGGAGTGCTCCTGGCCATCGCAGCCTCGACCTGCTGGGCTCCAGTGATCCTTCCGCCTCAGCCTTCCAAGTAGCTGGAACTACAGATGCGCGCTACCACGCCCGGCTGATTTTTTGATTTATTGTAGAGATGAGGTCTCACCAAGTTACCCAGGCGGGTCTCTAACCCGCGAGCTCAGGCAATCCACTCACCTCAGCCTCCCAAAGCGCGGGATTACAGGCTAAGCCACCTAGCCCGGCTGGGAATATCAATTTTTTCAACCACATCTTGCTTTAAACACTCATTTTTAAGAAAACGTGAACTGATTTCCCAGTTATTTCCAAGGATATTAGCCTACATAAATAATGGCAGAGTTTTTCTCATCAGGAAATCCACATTAGAATCTTGGCTGTCTCTACTGACATACAGGAAAAAATATGTCTTTCAGAACTCACTGAGTTGTCAGTAATTTTTCCAATGTGATATTGTACAAAGAATTGGGATTGAGTCTGCATAGCCACTCACAAGCTATATGGCTTGAAGTAAGTCAAACTCTGAGCCACAGATTCTTCATTTACTAAACAGGGATTCATAGCACCAAATAAGACAACCTCATAGAATTATGTAAGGGTTTCATGAAGTGTAAAGACTATGTAGAGTGAGGCTGTAGTTCTCCCCGAATTCTGATTAGGTTAAGAGAAGCCTATGCACTTAATTCAGTGTTGAAGAAACCAAGGCCATGGATTTAAATTCCAAATTGCCCAACTCTGCACTTTCCATGACCGCAGATTGAACATAATGCACAGAGCCAGCTGTGCTCCTCAGCCCCAGGCCACCTTCTCCTACCGACCTGGCCCCGCGTCAGGCGTGGTGCTGCCAGACGTTCCTGTGGAACGTCTTCCAGAGGGTTGATCAAGACAAGAGTGGAGAGACATCGGACCACAACCTCCAATAAGCACTATCCGAGACTCATGGACTCCCTATAGTACAGCGACTGTCATGTCAAGTCAAGCATATCCATGTTTGACCGCGGGAACAGGCTGGCGTGAACTTCAGTGAGTTCCCTGGCTGATGGAAGTACATCATAGACCAGCAGAACGTCTTCCGCACCCACGCCAGGAGGGACTCCGGGATGATCGATAAGAATGAGCTCCAGCAGGCACTCAGGCGACAGGCTCGTTGACCACTTCCACGATAACCTCATTCAAAAGTTTGACGGACAAGACCGCGGGCAGCTCGCCTTAGATCACTTCACCCAGGGCTGCATCATCTTGCAGAGGTTGACAGATATATTCAGACGCTGTGACACGGATTAGGGCGGCTGGATTCAGGTGTCTTAGGAACAGTATCTGTCTATGGTCTTCAGTATCGTTTGACGCTGGCATCTAGTGAAGAGCAACCCGACTTATCCGAGAAAAGACCCAAAATGCCAAATCTCTTACCGTGAATGGAACAATAGACGGATGCAGTTAGTAGCTGTTCTTCCGTTAGATTTTACCTTCTGGGGACCTGGTTGTACATAAGTAGATAAGCTGATTCAAGTTTTGCAATTGTAACAGTAGCTACATCAGTATCATACACACATTGAATTTCCTGTTTCCTTGTGCCACGTGGTCACGTAATAATGTTTCAGGTGTTCTGTTTGTAAAGAAATGCCTCATGTGCTTTTCCAGGTATCTCCAATTCTATAGTGGAAATGCTTTTATTAGCCAATAGGAATTTAAAGATAACATGGAACTTGCACAAAAGACTTTTCAGATACCTTGCTTTTATAAAAAGGAGTTTATTGTATTCATTGGTAGATGCAATGTAATCAATAAAGGGAATAGTAGACTCAAAAAAATTCACAAATATAGGGAGTAGGTTACAGAAGATCAGTGGAATCCACTCACCTGAGATCCACTACCATTTCAGGAAAAACAATTAAAGGATCAGGGACCCAATGTATCTTTAAATACACCACAAGCTTATTTTTTTCCCATACTTAAGAAGTCTCAGAATTTTAGGAAATTTACTCTTTTAACATCAAAAATCAAAATTCTTCTTATATCATCTTTTTATTATCTACTATTGATACCAATATTGATCTTTAGGATTTCCATAGTAGGGGAAAATGGTCCACATGTTGAAATTGTTTTCCCAAGCAAGATTTCACTTGTCAGTCTTTCCCCTCTGTCTCTAAGCTTCTCATCCAGTGATTCAACCCATCCAGGATCAAAAATATTCACAAAAAAAGGATGGTTACACCTGTGTCTGAATATGTAAAGACTTTTTTCTCTGTCATTCCCTAAACAAAACAGTATAACTATTTATATAGCATTTATATTGTATAAGGTATTATAAGTAAGCTAGAGATGATTTAAAAGATACAGGAGGATGTGCATAGGTTATACTATTCTGCCATTTTATGTAAATAACTTGAATATTTGGAAATCCAAGTTGGGGGACAGGGGGCGTCCTGGAATAAATCCTTCACAGGCACTGAGAGACAACTGTATTAGTATTTTGTCTAACATTTATCTCTACAACAGCTGTTTTGTGCTATGTAACA